ACAGATCATCCTTTTTTGATGGTCACTCCTGTGAACACAACTACGCCATGTGTTGATTTCATGTTTAATTTCTTTTGAATCCAGCACTGGCCATTTTCCTTCCCTTGTCCCTTCCTTCCATTTGTCCATGTTGTCAGCTGCAGCGTTACCAACTTCACCTGCCCTTTCTGCAGGGAAATCCTCTGCCTCTGGCAGTGCCATCTTCCCAGGTTCTCTTGCAGCTACTCCCGCAGCTGTGGCCACTGAGGGCGTTATTTTCTGGTGCACGAGCCACCTAAGGGACAGGGTGAACTTCCATGTCTGTAGCCCAGAGCTGTTGCACAATGCATCCCCTTCCTCCTGCTCTGGGACCAGAGCCTCTCTGGTGAGGTGAGGATGAAGGTGAAGGGGGCACCCTGGTGGTGGGGTGCTACAAGCCACAGGCAGTTATTTCCCGCCCCTCTTGATGAGGGTGGACAAATTGCATGTGACTTAGCATCTGAGTCAGGAGTGCAGGTCTTAAGGAAGGATAATCTTGACCTGACAGAGCTAAATGTCTTCAGTGGTGCTGTTGAGAGGCATCATAGGAGCCCCATCAGCTCCAGTATGGCCACCCCAAACTGTGACGTCAAAGCTGTATGTCATACCACAGATGCTGTCTATATTATTATTTAACAGAAAATAAAAAAAGGCAGAAAATAGAAAAGAAAAATGTAGCGTTGATATAGAAAAATCTATTTTGATCACTGTATTTTTATGAAAATAAACTTTAAAGGTTGTTTAGAACAGCACTTCTGGACTTCAAAATGCCATGAATTTAGAGTGGTACAAGGCTCCCCTTTCTAGCCTTGTATCACTCTGTCCAACAGGTAATCTTCATCACAGGCATTTCAGAGTGTTTTCTGCTGTATTTATCATTACAGCTGTTTGATGAAGTAGAGCAATTTAATTATTCCCATTTTTCAGCAATGGAGCTAAGGAATAGGAGAGCTAAATGATTTGCTCAAAGTAGTACAAGAAATCTGTGGCAGAGAAAGGCTCTGCCCTGGGGCTTTTCTGCAAGACATTATTAAGACTCAACTTCAAAGATGGGACATTTTGATATATAAAACAATGGCTACTGCTCTAGGATGGAGTTTTACCTTGCCTCAGCTTCAGGCCAGAGTGTTGTGTGGTGGTTGAGTGTAAATTTATTATTCTTTGGGAAAGGAAAAAAACACTCAAAAAAGAAGTTGAGACTGAGATTTGTATAAAACTGAGGAAACTGATGGGAAGGAGTCAGAAGCTCCTGATGATTTTATTTCCTTCCTATGCAAGCAGCATAGGTGGGTATGTAAAATATATCGTGTGTGTGCGCATGTAACCCAGTGTGTGTGTATGTGCACATGTGCGTTGTGTTTCTGTTCATGTATTTGATCTATTAAACCTTTTTGGGCACTCTGTTTATATTCCCCGCAACAAATAAAATGTGGCCCCATAGGCAG